AAGTACCTATATCATAAACATATATTTTTTTATTTTCAGGATTTTATTGCTTATTGTAATTTTATTTGTTTTCAAGAACTCAACATATAAATATACTTTACAGTCAACATATTATATATATATTGTTACTTGTTTAAACGCGTTTTTATAACTTTTAATAAATTTAATGTTTTAATTGAATTATCTAACTATACACCATATTATAGACACAGACAATATCTTTTCGATTTTGTTTGTATCTTAGTTTTGTTTACACAATTTATACTTATGAAATTAATGATAGATGATATGCCCTGTTCCGCAAAAATAGAGTACCTACCTACATTAAAAATTTATAACTTAGTACCTACTTTGTACATATTTTTCAAGTATATTTGCCTTATGGGATATTTAACTTGACTAATGGATTAAAAATTCTATTGACTTAAACAATTTTCAACTCTCCTATTTTGCGCATGCGTAACATAATTTTTTTTCAATAGAAATTTCTATTTTCAATATTGTTTTTAGATTGATTGATTTTTTAAATCATTTTTATCCATCAATTTATATTCTAAGCCAAAAATTGAGTAAATGAAAGCTACAATTTAAGAAAAAAAATAAGTACATGCTTACATTAGATGTCGATTGGGTCATTATTATGGTATTGTGATATTATGTTAAATTTGAACTCAACGGTAAATCATTGTAAGGAAAAATGTTTCTGAGCAGGAACAATCTATCAGCGTATACACCTAGATAACTATAATTTATAAGTGATACGTTTATTTGATATAGCTATTAAAGTTATTTAATTAATTTTTATATTATAGTAGGTTGATATAATTTTAAAATTGAAGTTATTCTAATACTTATACAAAAATAATCGCAAAAAATTGTAAACTATTTTGTAGTTAAAAAATTATAAAAACTTTACTTTTTATACCTAAGTTTTGAAAATTGTGTACATTATTCTTTATAAGTACCTAGGGGCTAGTTCACATTTCGCATTGAAATCAAAAATCAAAAAAATGTAGGTACTGACATTTTTATAGACATTTAAATGAAATTACTTTTTTAAACAATAAAAAACGATATGTTAATTATTTTGTTATACCTACCTATTTTAAAAATATTATTTGTGGAAACTTTAATGTATTTTATATTATTATATATTTTATTATAGGCAATAAAACGTATGATTTATTTTAAAACATTAAATTTTTATAGGTACCCACTATACATCTATTTTACTGTTTATAGTATTTAATTAAAAATGTTATTACATTTTGAGTTATATAAGTTGATAAAATATGTTTTTAATGTTTATTATTATAATAATTAAACAATAATTAATAATAATATAATAAATGTAATATTTCCGGTTAAAAATTATATTAACCTTCTCTAATAATAAAAGTAAAATAAATGACTTTAATAAATAGCTATAACCAAAATACATAACATTTGGTGATATAGTCCGATAAATCGTTTTCGCTTAGAATCGTACATCGAATATAATAATAACGATAATATCAATTTATTGTATCATAGAATTCAAATCTAACACACATAAACCTAATAGTGACACCCGCTCGACATCTAATGTACAGATAGTACAGAACTACAGACGACCCTACTACAGAGTACAGACGAGCAGTTTCACTACCTAGGTACCTACCTATTTTAAAATGAACGTATTTTTTCCTTTTAAACACTTTGATAACAAAATTATTATTTTTAAATTTATACTTTTTTTACTAAATACCTACTTATGAATTATTTTTTTGTTTTCAGTCATAAATTTTTATTGATTTATAAAAGGGATAATTTTCAAAACATTTTGACTTATTTTGAGCTATCTGCTATTCAATGATATATAATTATAATAACTTACATACATTAATTTTTTCAGGCTTTTTAAAAACATAAGGTTTCTAGTAAGATTTTATTAAAAAATATTAAAGATATATTATATTCATATCACTCGATAATTTTTGATCGACGTATTTGTAGTTCAAACTTCAAATTACGCGACTAATAGTAATAATTTTAATTGTTCTGTTGTACTTCATTATAAAATATTATGCCGTTTAATAATCTTGAACTCAACTCACTATTTGTTAATTATATCATGGGTTATGGATAAAAGTACACTACAATTTATACTTTTAGTCCAACGCCTAAGATTCAAATTTCTCATATCGGAAGGAAATTGTTCGAAAAGTTTTGGCCTGCATAGATAATATTTCTATACTCACTAGTCACTATGGAAATGGTGCATAAAGCATGGGAAAATGTTAATGCACAAACCATCACGAATTACTTTAAAACTTGCGATTTTATTAAGGATGAGCAGAACATCGACAAAAATACTTCTAAACAAAGTGAGGAAGTTGAAGGTCTGTTAAGTATATGGAACAGACTTGAAGTTACTGTATCATAAGAAGAATTTATTCTCTTTGATGATTCGCAACTGCTAGTACTTTTATTGGAGGAAATTATATAATCTAGTTTAGCTAATAAGAACAATTTTGCCAGTGATGATGAAAAAAAGGGGACAGAGATTCCTGTCATATCCTCGTAACAAGCAAAATCTTTTAGGACAGGATTGCATTAATTTTTTGAGCAATCCGAAATGGACAAAAAACAAAATATAATTTAATTTTCAATGCTATTAGTCGGTAAACTAGATAACGCTATGAGTCAGATTGTTGCTAGCAATTTAACGTAAAAAAAAAAAAAAAAATAGCATATTTCTTTAATAACAAAATAATTTCATACATGCATAATAAATAATAAATACAATGTATGTATGCAATACAATTTTTCACCTCTTTTTAAATCGAACACTCGGTAAATTAAATTTTTAACTGGGTTCAATAAATTTCGAATAATCAGATCAAGTAACTGCTGTATACTCTTATAACTCACTATTCTACAGTCTTACATATCTGACCACCATAGCTCTACTCAACAGTTTTATTTTGGTTGAAGTACAGGTCTCAAAAATCAATCTTGGCCATGTCATTACATCCCATATACCTTAAGTAAATAATAACATGGGTCGAAATCAGATAAATAAAAAAAAATATCTTTACATTCATCGTTATCATTTAGAAAAAAGTTATGGTATCTAAAGAAATATTAGACATCATGATTATGAATAAAAAAAAAATTATATCTTTATAATAATTTATTAAATTAATAGCGTTTTATTGTGATAAAATGATGATCGCCTGTTATGCTCAATATTTTAATAAATAATAATACAACAAATAAACTTATTGTTTAAAATAAAATTATTAAGGTAATTAATTATAAAGGTACAAATAACTAAAATCATCAGAAATAATATTCTGATTAGGAATATCAATTTAAAAATGTATATTGTCATACAAAAAATAGTAATAAGTACATTTTTTAAGAAAATTCATTGTTTTATAATGAGTTATGACTCAAGTTATAATCAAAACATTAATAAAGTTTTGATATTATAATTATGTTTACAGTTAAGTAAATTACCCAGTAAAATATAATCAAGTCTTAAATTATGATTAAAAATTATAATTAATATAATAAATAAAAAAAAACACAAAAAATTAATAAATAAAAAATACGTTTATTAATTACTACATACTATATAGGTAATATTTTAAATAATTTATGTTATCATTTTCTAAACAAACTTTAAGGAAGTAATATAATTGTAATTAGTGTTTGAAAGTTATCCAATATTATTAATAATTCAAAAATAAAATACAGAAAATCAAAATAATAGTGAAAAAAAATTAAATACCTAAATATATTTTAAGTAATTTAAGTAATGTTATATTGTTTTATTAATATAATTCATACAGTCTGAAACAATGGGCTTAAGTATGATTTTTTTTTATATATATTTAATGCACATTATTTTAAATAGGATTATTTTTATATTTAAAAGTTAGACAACCACTAAATTAATTAAATTATTAATGTTTAGAATTACATTTACAATCCATTAAACAAAATTAAATTTTAATACAGAACATACAATAAACTTAATACTTTTCACATAAAAAATAATATTAATAAAAATTAATTTCAGACATATTGGTGTTATTATTTGTAAATTAGTTACAAAACATTATTGTATTTCACAATAAATTAACTTACATTAAAAAATGCAAAATCTTAATGGTAATTAAGATTTTAATGTTTATAATACTTACAAAAATATTCATTATGAATAAAATAACTGAAAAAATTCATATTAATTCTATCATGGGCTATTATAAATAGTGATTGTTTTAATAATAATTTTATGTATATACAAATTTTATGAAAAAAAGACATGTAAACTAATACAAAATACTTTTTTGGAGTATGAAAAATTACAATACATTTTTAATTTTTCTTTTACAAAGTCTTCAATTGTAATATTATCGAAACTATTTTAAAATAATAGTAAAAAAACAATTTTTACAAAGTATTTTAATTCAAATAACTAAATAGAATATTACAATTCAAGTACAAACATTTTTTTTTTCAATAAGTCTTATGTATACTCTAGTACTAGATTACATTAAACTTAAATACATTTATAATAAAATTATTGCAATTTTACTCGCTAAAACTTTAAACTAGATTATAAATGAAGTAGGTTATGTAATGTACAATAATTGAGCAACTAATACAGGTTGTCTCTGAGAAATGTAATAAATAAGAGATTAGAGATTTATCACATTCTTTTGTTAAATCTCTAATCTTTTATTCAATTAACATTTTTGTGAAACACATATACAAATACACATACACTTATCTGAAAAATTATGACGATTATCTATCCAAAAACATTTATTTAACATTATTATTAAAATATTTTAGATTATTATTATGGTTGATAAAATGCATATAATAGGTAGATAAATAATATTAGGCTGTACATTTTGGCTCCATTCCTATGTAAATTATTATGATCTACATCTGTATCTCTATAAAAAATTAACATACTTATTATCAATATCTGATTCATTAAAATACAATATGTATAAAAATAAGACTAATATTAAACATGAAAAGAAATTTTCAAACATTTTAATATATTTTTATATAGAGACGTGTTCAACAATAAATGGCATTATCATTCCAAAGAGTATCCCACTACAAATTCCAGTGATCAGCATAGCAGCTCCAAACATGCCTGCAATTCCACTGTACCTTGATTCAACACAGCTAAAAGTAATCATATTTTATTAGTATACATGTAATATGAATAATGGAACAAAAAAAAATAGGAGTTTCATTTAAAAAGATAGTTCTTAAAAAATGAACTCCATATACTGAGAAATCAAAGTCTATATCTTAAGATATGCGAGATTATTATTTTAATGTCTAACAATTGTTATAAATTTGAAAAAAAAATGTCTGATCCTAAACCTGTAATATTAGGTAAATAGTATTATAAACAAATTGGAATTTAATCAATAAATAATGACAAAAACTATTTTATTTCAAATATAGTTAGCAATATAAGCATTTTTTTTTTTTTGTTTTTTTTACCTTGGAGTATACATCATCGCTACAGAACTGTAATAACCACTAGATAATCCAAGGATTGCTCCTAATACCCAAAATACATAATCGTCATTTATTAGTACTGGCATCATTCTTGTAACACCAATTGGTTGGTAATTACAAACCAAAAATAATGGAATAAAAATAATTCTCAGTAACACAGGAACAAAAAGCCATTCTTTCTTTGGCTAAAAAAAAAAAAAATAAATAAAAAATAAAATATATATATATATATATATATTAAATTTAATTATTTAGCAAAAAAAGAAAAAAATTAAAAATGTAATTAATATTTACCCAAGAAAACAAAGTAGAAAGATATGTTCCAATAAGTGCACATACATTGAATGTTAAAAAACACATAACACTGGTATAATATGTTTCTCCAAAAAGAAAATCTTTATTTGACGATTTAATATCTATAACATACAAGTAGTTATATGATTATAGGTAATTACATAAACTATGATTTTTTTAACTAAATAATAAAAAAAATTATACCTGAGTGAACTGCTGGAAATATTGAAAGAGTAACAAAGAATACAAAAAATACATTAATTAACTGTGGACTGGCTTGTTTAAAAATATGCCAATAAGGAATTTTTTCAACTACGCTGCTTTGTTTTGAATTTTGGTTTTCAATTGCACGTTGATAAATAAGTTCGTGATATTTATAAAATCTCTACAAGCATAAATTAACAAATAAAAAAAAAATTTCTGTATGTATATTCTTACTCAAAAGTATAAATTACTTACATTTAATGGCAATGCAAAATATGTATCAAAACAGGCTAACAATACAAATAGTGCAGTGGTAAAATAATATATAGCAGCAGATTTAGCATCCGGAGTTATTGAAATTGATGCTATGTTAGCGATAGATGTAAATGTACCACTCAAATTCGTACCAAGAACTACAGCACCAATATATTTTGTAGGAAGCTTAGCTGCCATTCCAAAAACAGAATTATTGTAAATACCATTTGCCATATTTAATAATATTATACTGCCTAGAGTTGACCAGAAAAATAAAGCTGGCATATGAGCCGTATTAATCATGACCAATGCGACAGTAAAAACAAAACAAAGTACTTCAGTAATAATAGACCATACAATCCGAGTTGTCAATTTTCCACTGAAAATTAAATTAAAAAGAAATTAGTATAATACTAAATAATACAACTTTGATTTATTAAGAAGATTCATTATACACATATTTGGTCAATTATTGGTCTTTGTTATTTTTAGTTTTATATTATTTTTAATTATTTATCTTTTAACATAGATTTTTATTGTTAAATGTTTGTTCAGCAATTATGTCTATTGAAAATGGTAAACTACAAGTTTGCAACACTTTAAGTATGAACAAATACATATGAATTACAACGTAACTATTTTTATGTACTTGAATATATTGAATACTTTAATATTAATTATTAAAAAAATAAATTGATTGGAGGGTAGTTTATAGGGTGGATCATATTATTGATTAGATGTGAAACTTGAACCTATGCTATTGCCCATATCTAAAAGGTTCACTTTCTTATTATATTAAGAGTTTAACTATTATTATCATTCAATAATTATTTTAATTTGTTAAATTACTATAGCAATATATAAGCGTATAGACATAGTAAATGTTTTAATTAAAAGTTTTATCTAATTTAAATTGGTATGTTGAACTACATTTATTTTAAATTAATTTTTTTATCTATATCAAATGTTATTAAATAATAAAAAGATAACCTTTTGTCATTTGCTAATCATGTAACACATAATCATCAATACCACTATATTTATGATTAATAATAAAATATATAAGGTCATCTAACATAACAATATTAATATTTACATAATGAAAAATCAATTAATTCAATCTATTTTATTATTTTCTTACCCTATTGGACAAAATATATTGAGCCAGTTGAACAGAAGACTAGGTAGTTGTGAGCCAATAGTCAAGTAAGCCATGAAAACAGATGCATAATATAGATCTGTACCAAGATAATCTTTTCCCAACTTGTATTCTACAAAATACTAAAAAAAAAAGTTAATTTAGATTTTTTCATAAAAAGCAAGTTATAAAACTGTCTTATAATAAGATTTAATGACTGGTTGCATAAAAGTGCATGCAAACAGTTATAAAAAATTAAGAAAATATTTTAAATACAATAATAGCAGGTTATTAACAAATCTATTATGGTATATGTTTAGAATACCTTTAAATAGTAGGATAAAACTCATATTTTTATTTACAATTAGATTCATAACATTTTTAATAAAATTCAGTTGAAGTATTTTAATATGTATAGAATAAATTATAAATGTATTTAAATATAATAATTAATACACATGGTTTTTACTTACAGATTTAGCATTTATAAACATATTCCAAGGCATTAATATTCCTATTCCATGTAGAACTAAGATTAAATACACAATATTCCATCTAAAACAATAGAAATTAACTATATTATTATTCATTTAAAATAAGGTAGATCTAAAATTAAAAAAAAAAACAGTTGTATAACATTTAATTTTGAAAATGTTTAATTATAATTAGCATTTTAATATTAGAATTTAGTTTTATTGAAGTCTAAAATAAATAAATAAAAGTAAATGAAGTTTCATGACAGATTTAAATGAGTAAAATAATTAATAGTTAATTAAAAAATAAACATTTATGCACTTTTAACAAGGTAAATAGAAAAATCAAAGGTATATAATACATTTGAACTCACTTATCTTTTGGTGGATTAGTCTCTAATACTGCATCATCCATGTTAAATGTTTTAAAGTTTAGTTCGTCGTTTGGTAAATTAGTTTCTTCCCATGCAGGAGTCAAACGTACTGGTACTTGCTCAGAAGCAACACTTGTGAATGAATTATGTTTAGTAGGTTGCACTAAAAAACAAAAAAACGTGCAATTTTCATAAGTAAAATAAATAAACAATATAATTAATTAATAGAAATAAAAATGTATGGTTATTAGTGCTTTACTTATTATAAAAAAATTTTCATTAACTACATTCTACACATTATTATTCAGTATTTACCTTAAAATCAATAATTTAAAATACTATAAAATGATAAATATACATTACATTATAATATTAAATTAACTAAGTAATTTCAAAAATATATTTATTTTTTTAAGTATCTCATACATTGTTTAGGCATTGAAGCGTTTAAAGTAATTTCTTATTGGCTATAATGTGAATTTGATACTTAAATATAATGTGTTATGTAATAATATTATGAATACAGGAAACTTATTACTAATTCAATTAAAACATAAAATTTTAGTAGCTTACCTAAGAGTACACTCACAAACTCATTAGACAAAATGTACAGGTGATAAATTTTTTTGTTTTTAATAATTTGAAACCCATAAAAATTATTATAAATTGCAACAGAAAACTTATGAAATATAAATAATGTTAGTAAGTGTTAGCGTATTTTTTAAGAATTTTTTCAACTGTAAAAAATATAAAATGATTTTGAAATAATATCAAGACTTTATCAAGTCATAATATTTAAGCTATATAAATTTTAAAATTATAAACATATATCTGTTATTTGTTACTTATTAAAAATGTTTATACTTACGAAAAATAATAACATTGAATCAAACAAAACACGACTACTAAGAGATGGTATTAACTCGGAAATACGATAACCAAAAAAAAAAACTGGGAATAAAGCTATATATGTCGGAGGCCATAATACTTGAAAAGAATTTATTAAGGAGGGATATTGTTTGGAATGTGGAATTCAATTAAGGGTCAATCTGGTTCTCAGTTATATAGTAATATAGTTTCATAAATACCACAGCGCTGTTTAGGATTGTATTCAAATTTGATTTATGACCATTGATCACATTGATAAACGTTTAAGAAATAATCATTGAAGAATTGAAACAGTTTTATTATTCAAATTAAGTTTTACAAAACGTTTGATTAAAATTTTAAAAATAATCAAAACAAATTAAAAATATGTAAAAAATTAAGTCAATAATAATAAGAATTATTTACGTTTTTTATTTACATACTATAAAAAATTACGAAGCAATTTTATATCACCTAATTTGTTTCAGCTATTTTAAATTTAAACAATAAATTTATATTAGTTAGAAATAATATTTAAAAATAATTGGTGTGCCTAAAAGATTTTGATTTATTATGTATTTTTCAGAGAAGCGTTCCCAATTTCCTAGTAACTCTGTAAATAAATTAATTCTTAACTTTCAAATAATTTTGTTTATTATAACTTAGTGATTTATTTTTTTAAATTTTGGAATATTTTTATTATGGTTTATGACAAAAATAATCATTATAATAACCAATAGGTATGTAAAGAAATCAATGCAAATTTTTTTCAGGCGGCTTAGGCACGTGCAAGTCCAAGTCAATAAAACGTATCATAAAAAAATTAATTTTCATGATAATATAAGAGACGTGCAATAAACATAACTAAAATTTTTAAAAATATCTAGACAATACAATATTGAATTCTTAGAATAACACCTTCAAATTATGAAATACTATTTTTAATCAATAATTTGTTGCAATAACAATAATAGTACAATAATCAATTTCAGTATAAAATATATAAACTGGTATTCTAAGGTACATACAGCGTGATTCTTTTAAATAGTAAACACTCATTATCACAATTCTTAATAAATATTGACATTTGACAAAAATTAAGTTTTATTTTTTTTATAAGTACTTATGATTGAAATGACTAACATATATTTTTAATTTAATATTTCTAATTAAAATATTTTCTAGAAAATTAAAATTTTTTTAATGAGTATTTAATTAGTAAAATGTAGTAGATAAACATTTTTTGATGCACCTATGAGATGCATTCCACACCAGTATTTAACTTAAAATATATAATATACTAGGTAATATACATTTAAATAAATAATCATTTAAACGATATTCTGTCTAAAAATATAAATATTAACATTTTCTGTTTTGGAATATAAAATTAAAAATGTACGTTTGTCATTCAATAATTAAAATCATAATATTTTTTTTCCATAAATGTTTTATTGTGACAAAGGTATGTAAAAATAATATTTTTAAAAACGTTATTAGTTTTTAAGATAATTTGTATTTACTATTAAAAGAATCATCATTCAATAACGTATAGATTTAATATTTATAACTAAAAATAAATAAAATATACTCACAGTTTTTTTTATTTTTATCTTAACTTTAACAAAAATATAAACACTAAATTTAAAATAAAATACAACACTATTTAAATCGAGACGAATTAGTAGATATAAAGTTCCTAATTCCACTCGTATAACTGCAGCGGTTACAACTTCGGATGAAATTAAACTAACTCGATCGCAATTTTATTAGCTAAATAGTAGGTGGAATGTATGTGTTTATATATTAATTCAAACGTTGATAAAAATATAATTTAATAAATATTACTGACCGACCGTCGGCTCTACAAATATGTAACTAACTTACAAGAAAATAATATTTGACATAATTTATAATTTATAAATGCATATCGTTAATTATCGATAAATAAATATATGAGTATCAATTTTCATTATTATTACATAATATAGAATAAACAATTTTATGAGAAAATTACTATAACGACGAAACTCCTAATTTAAATTGCTCATACAAAATATAGTAATATTTTATTAAATTAAGTTTGTATAATTGAATTGACCTAAGTTTATTTCTAAGGTTTTAAATTTTATAAGAAATCTACCAGAGGCATGATTAAATTACATACAAATCCCTAGTGTATAATAATTATATTGAATACGCAGAAAAAAATATATAATTCATTTCAAATAAATCATTTTTTTACGATTTAAAATAATATATGAATTACCAATTAAAACACAATAATTTACTCAAAATAAATAATCATAATTTTTAATACAATTTAATTAAAAATATAAATATTTATTATTAATGTTAAAATAGGTTTAGATAATTATAAAAAAATTTTGAGACATTTAAATTTTTAATGAAAAATCGAGATTAGATAGATACTATAAACATACAAATTATATTGTAATTTGTAAGTATAACGATATTTTAACTACATCAAGATTTAAGTTAGCCAGTTTAAATTTTATAAATACCTTATTTTTAATGAATATTGTATGATAATTTAAAATCTATTATGATTTAATTTAAAAAACGAATAATTATAACTCACTTTAATATATTTAAGAAAAATACCGGCAACTTTTTATTTAAAATATATATATAAAACAACTATTTTATAAATTTATAGTATTATATATTTTTTAGTTATTTACACTCTGACACATCTGACTCCTAGAAAGTAGTGAAGTATAATGATTGTCACCAAACAACTTATAATTCCATTAAAAATAAATGTTGTAACCCGTAGGTATATATTTACTTTTAAAATATCACTAACAAAACTATTTAGGAATTTAGAATATATTAAATGAAAGGTAAATAAAAATAAAATAATTATTTACGTACCTAAAACATAAAAACGTTATTTCATTTTTAAACCAACTGATGAATAGAAAAAATAGAAATATTAGTCTGAATAATGAAAAGAAAAAAAAATAAGAGTTTGTACGATTCTTAATAAAATATAATTTAGACAATTTAGTGTAGTGTACACTACAACCTTGATTATGACTGGAATTCTAAATAGGAAGGTAGGTAACTTAGAAACTGCATTATCAACCTCGAATATTAATAATGATTAAACAACGAATTCGATTTCTTTTTCCACTAAGATAAAAAAATATTTGTTTTATTCCTATAACAAAACACACGTGTTATGTAATATGTACTACAAAAAAATTAAGCAAGTGTTTGAATTAATCGAACTAATTGGCTTAGATATCAGTAAATCAATACTTAAAAATTAAATATCTTATGATTGAAATGTAATTTAGATATTTTAAATATTTCCTGTATTATAATATTATTGAAAGTGCCTGAAATATTTTTTTTACACCGAAACCATATTACAAACAAAATTAACTGTTGATTGTGCTCAACTAAAATTATCAGATATATTATCGTGATATACCTTTTTTTTTTATATATAGGTTTTACTTGAAGAAATAAGAATGCTTATAGTATTAAACAAACCTTACAAAACTGAAATACAGTTAAATTCCATTTTTCTTTATCAAAACAATCATCATATATACAGTAAAGATGTGTCAATTACGTGACTAATATCAACTAAAGTTTCAGTTTACACGTTTTTACGATTAGGATCATGTAATCTAGACAATTTTAGTTGCAATATATTTTTTTTTTCGTTTTTACCAAATGATCTCAGAAAATGTTTTAAAACAATTGTATTAATGTCATTATATTAAATATATTCCGACATTTTTAATTTTAATAGACTCAAAAATGTTCACTTTAAAAAACATTTTTTCAAAATCTTTTTTAATTAATTACGTAAATATACCCATCCAAATTGTATTTGATTTGTTATTTTTTTTTTTATCATTTAAATAAAAATAAAAATAATAAGTATACAATAAATATATAATGTTCATAATTAATGCATGATAATATGTATGTATAATTTATAATAGTTTAATACTGCAATACGCTCACTAAGTCACAATCACTGTTTAACTTGTATTAAATATAAAGTATTTACTTATTTCAAAATTGTACTTTCATCCCGAATAATAAAAAGAAATAAAACTTTATCCAAGTACTATAGAACTGGTTCCATAATTATTGATAGAAAATTTTATATGCGACAATAGAGGAGTAGTACAGTACATACATCGATTTGTATATAAAATAATTTTGTCATAACTTCTTTATGGTCGATAAATGTTTAAAGAATACATATTACATTGTATAACAGATCATACTTCATAAAATAGATAAATTATCGTACGTATATTAATAAAATACCTATCATATTTTTTTAACATCCTATTTACAGTTTTGCTAAGTTTAGTCTATGCAATAAAAAAACTAAAATTTAATTCAGAGTCAATTGTCTGAAATATTTTGTATTTATTATGTAACCATTATCGTTTTGAACATAAATATACATGTACCTATACTAATTAGATATTAATAAGTAATAACTGATTATTATAAATTATTTAATGAAATTAAAATAAAAAATACAAAAGATTTTTAGGAGTCTACTAGGATCAATGCAATACAAATTTTCGAAATAACTATTTGCTAGAATATCAAACTGATTAAGCAAATATGTAATTAAAATTTTCGACATTTCTCTAAAATATGTGTTTATAAAATCAAAGAGATATAAAAATATACATTGAATTAATATGAAAATATGCCCTTATATTTTTTTTTAATTATCAAATGTGTCTTTTTTTTGTTTAGAATATAAGTAATACAACGAAATATGTTGTTAAACGTTGTAAAATACTTTTTTTTAGCAGTTAAAATTGAAACATATATGCATTTTGATAACATCGTTAGTACATTTCAAAATTTAAAATTGTTAACCTTTAATGTTTATAAAATGATTGTGGCTATATATATTTTCAGTTCAACCTCAAAAATATCCAAATTTTTATATTACACACATATTCCCGAATCGGTCAAATCTAAATGAAAAAACAATGCTTTAAAAACTATCGTCAACGCTTGTGAATTTCTTTAATCAAAAACGCATAATATAAATATATTATTTTATAATTATGAATGAAATTAAATTGTTATTTATCAACACATTATAATCTTTTAGCTTATTTTTACAAAAAAAAGCAATTATTTTTAATAGTGCTGTAATATTTTACCAAAATAAAAATTGTTTAAAGCACACATTTCAATTTCGTAAACACTTCACTTTTCGTTCTATGCACAATTTTAGAAACGGTTTCAGTTTATTTTTAGTTGCAAGGAAAACCACTAGGCACTAATGAAGGACTAAATTTTAATTTACAAGCTTTTTGACTACATAAAATCCCTGTTAATTCAAGTTATTTTTAATATTCTTTTATTTTTACTCTTTTTGGTAATTATACTAGGTAATTCTATAACAGGTAAGCAATAATGATTACTTATTTTCTCAATATGTATTATTGTTTTTAGAATTTATTTTAATTGTTGTAAAACTAATTTTTTCACCATATTTTGTTCTTTACATTTTTAATACCATATTGGTTCCTAAGTTAATTACTTTTCTGAAAATTTATAAAAATTGAACAAAATTAAACTATATATTTTAAAATGCTCATAATTTTCAACATTAAAATATGATCACTCTCATATCAAAAATAACTGGGTAAAATTCATTATATTGGACATACAATTTTCTATTATGTATTAATAAGACTAGAGTCAACAAATTATGTGTGTATGATTACTTGTCAAAACACAAACATTTAAAACATTAATAATTATGAAACATTAAGTTATCATCATAAACTAATAATCATCCTAAAACTTTTTTGTGAAAGCAAACACACTATTATACATTAGTAATCACCAGGGCTGTGAATTTATAGGAAAGTGCATTTTTTTTTTTGTGATTATAAACATAGCTTTGTAAGTACATAATTTGAATTATGTAATTACAAATCCATCTGTGAAACTTTTATTTTGCATATTTTTGTATTTTTTGACGTTTTTAATTTTTAGGTCATTTTTTCGCATTTTTAGGTCATATTTTTCTTTTTTTAATTCATTTTCTAGTATTTTTAACCAAATTTTGTCAATTAACTTGTTTGAAAACTTTTTTTGTTTTACACAGGCTGTATATATTATGTCAAATTTTTTAACTTTTTTATACTAATATTTAATATTCTGTATCTAATATTAATATAAATATAAAAATTAAATTAAAAATCATTTTAAATGAATTTTATACTATAATTTTTGGCATTTTAAGTGCATATTTTATTGCATTTTTTAAAGTTATTTAGAACATTAAATTCACAGCCCTAGTAATCACTAATCACAACTATAGATTCATATTACAAATGCTACATTAAACTGCAAAAAATTGTAATATTTAAAAACTTGACGTTAGTTAGTTTCTACCATGTGGTTTATATTTTTAGATTTTATAATTTTAAAGTAAAATCACACTAATACAGTAATACCAAAACAAAAACACAAGATACAACAAACTTTTGTATTAAACAATATATAAATATTTTTCTGTTGACCTATTTCAAATTATTTATTATAAAACTTTAATTAGGACTTAATTATCATTTTTAAAATTCAATCAATGTACTTTTTTTGAGTATCTATTTGACATTTATATGTTTATAAGGTATGTTATTTAAAATGTAAATACTATACTCAATATTTTTTATTAACTAACACAATTTTTAAGCTAGTACATTTGAAAATTGTTATCAGATTGAATACTTGCTTTACCTGTTACCATAAAGAATGTACTAATTTTTCCTTATCTTTAGTTTTTACCTTCAATATTTTTCATAAGTCGCATAGTTTTTTTTTTTTTGACAATGATAAAGAAAATTTGTAATTTACATGTTTCGATATTTAAATTAATACCCTTTATCTAATAAATATGAACAGTTATATATATAATACTTAATAATTAAAATCTTTTAAAGAAAACAAGAATATGTAAAATAGTAATACATAAAAAATTAAACACACATAATTTAGTTTTGTTTACATATACTGTTTTTCAAATATTTTAGATACCTACTTCAATAATAATAATTACTAATTACATATCTCGATAATTGCGCAAGAACATGTTAAAGACAATGTTCATATTGTTGTTTAAATTCTCAGGTGATCTGCCATTAATCCGGGAACAAAAAATAACAATAGACTTATCTCAAAATCATAAATTCACTTTAATAATCCATCATTAATATTTATATTATTACTAAAATAGACTTGCCATTCGTCCCAATTTTAAAACATGTCCTGATATCTTAGTCCTTCATTTGGTTAGTCCCAGTTAATAGTGATTGAGAGAAAATAAGATTTAATATTGTATACTGTATAATTATATTATTATTAATTGTACTAAAATATTACTAATAAATAATAATGTATCTTTGTTATGATTAATAAATATTTAAATAAAAACAGGAAATACTTATTTCTATAAAAGCATGTTACATAAAAAAAAAGATGTCTTGGTTTGAGATTTCAATATCTGGGGACTCTATACTTAACATACACCTAACTAATCACATACTATTATAAAAACGTGCTTTAATCATTTATAAGATGTTTAAGTTAACATCATAGTACTACTTTTTTAAATGATAAACTAGTAACCAATATAAATAAATACTTGAAATATTTATATATTAACTTATCACTAGAGTTTAGAAGTCATAAAAAATAAAATAAGTAAACTAGATGTGAAATAGTTGTTAAATATCTAAAAAAAAAAATTATCAAACAAGAAAAATGTATTAAATATAGAACAAAATTAAATATCATAAACAACACAACTTTTACAGATTACTGAGAAATTTATTATGCTGAACATTCCACTAAAGACAGTCCGACTACATTCATACCTATAAATACACTTCAAATTATATAGACAACACAAATATAAAATTGGTAACTTCTAATAATTTAATATTTATACCAGTAGGTCAGCTGACTCAGCTGCTATAGTTAAAGCCTATTACAATCATGAAAACCTAAACCTTTTTTATTTACTTATTAGGTAATTATTACATGTACATGAAATTAATTTTCAGCTTGATATCCTACAAGTAGGATGCATACAGAAAATCATGCAAGTCCTAAGATCTAGCTATTACCAACAATATCATAACATGAATTTCACTATTTCTTACAATAATTCCTCTCTTCTTAATGTAACCATAAAAAATACATAAATAAATACTTATAAAAGTAACTATAAAAATTATATTAACCTTTTGAATTTATGGTTGAATTCATGGACAGTAAGGTATTGCCATTTTTTACTACATTTTCTTGCAAAAGTAAGTGATCTTCTCCACCAGTTTTAAACCGTTGTTCTTGAGTATTGGTTATTAAACTCATTTTAAAATATTTTCGTAGACCTAAAAAAATTTATTGTATATATAAATTAATATATTATTATTTTGTTATTAAAAACAACTATTTTACCTTATAAGAAGAATATTGAACAGTAATTTAGAATATAGTCACTAAACAATCTGTGTTAGTGAACTGAGGAGAGATTACAACAGATTTATTATAATGTATAAATATAATAAGTACTTGAAAATAAAATGTAATGCATATCGATTGCTACATTGTATTTACTTAAGACTTAGAAGTTAGAGTTTGAACTTCACGTTCACAATGACGTTTATTTTGTGAGAATTTAAATCTTGAAACACGAAGCGGAGTGGGAGATAAAAAATATGTTGAAATGGCACCTTCTTCACGTGTTGAGGTTAAATTGTAAATAAACCACGGTTTGGGTACCGAATTAATTTTTGATTATTCCATGAACCAACGAAACTGCGTCCCATATTTCGTACCTACTTTATATTTAGTAGTAGGTAACCATAGTTCGATTACAAATTTATGAAGACGGAGCCTCTCAGTTCAGACTCCAGAGTTAGGCCCCGGCCACTTGGGTTCTGAACCGGGTGACCATAGAATAGCTTATTGTAATTAATAATTATACATTTATACCTATACCCATAGGGGTATTCCAGTACTCTACTATATACTACGATAATTCAATAAAAACTTAAAATTTTAATTTTACACTACCTATTATGATAAATAAATATTCCCATGTACGTGTAGGTATCTAAAACCTATGTTATGAACATTTGGCCTGTGTAGTTATTACTTAACATATGAGAACTGAGACATTATTTGTCACTACAATATGTATTACATTAATACATTATTGTCTTTTGAATATTGTTGACGTTTGTAACGTTTGTAATTTTAATAGTTGTGTTTACAATAGTATAAATATAATGACATGGGTATCGTAATGATACTTTTAAGCAGCAAAGAACTGATGGTTGATAGTTATTAATTAGGTACCAAGAATGCCACAACAAATTGTAAATAGTTATAGTTGATGAAACTATTTTAAATTACAAATTACAATACATTATTAAATATTATGCTGTTTGGTAGACGAGTAAACGACATGGTTATACATACAATATAATATATTTTTAATTTATTCATTAGGTAGGTTTGTTAATAAATAGTAACCAGTATTATTGGTACCTATATGTAATTCTAATGCAAATGTAAGAATGTTTTTATTAATAATAATAATAATAATAACATTAAATCATCAATAATTAGACTATTGGCGTGTAATTTCATATGAAAATTAAGCATAAACTATATTTTACAATTTAATATGTTTTATAAATAACAATATTTTTTTAATAAAATCTTCGTCGGAACTAAATGCATTGTGAAAGTGTTCTGGTGAGTCTTATTTTTTTGGGCGTTTTGTGTGTCTACATTCCGTAAATGTATTTAATTTAATTAATATCGAATGATCACATATTTGGCATGTTCTTGATGGGTATTTTATTAAAAGCAAAAAAATGAATATTATTCGTTTGAAATGATTGATATTAAATAGTAAATACTATAAAAAAAACTTCAAAATTTTAAACTTTTAATACTAAAATTCGATGTTAGGTATTGACTTTTTTTAATTTTAAAATCAATAAGCAAATAAGTTGTAAAACAAAATAAAATAAAAAGTGGTCGCTTGTTAGAAGGGCATCAAGTGGAGATACTCTAAAGTCTAGATACCTACTTCAAGGATAAACTCGAAGTACAGATAGTTTAATTTAATTGTTTTTTTCTAATTATTAATTATTATAATTTATAAGTTTAAAGTTATAACATAATATCGGTTTTTAGGATTTAGGTAATTATCCAATATATTGTTATAATTTATAAATGTGTGTATGATGTAAATTGTAAAGTATGTAGTTATATCTTAATTTTTTTTTTTTTTTAATTTAAATTTAAAATCTTTTCTTTTTAATTTTCACTACTGTTAAAAGAAAGTAGTGAATACCAAACGATAAAAGGTCCAGTTTAAGTTATGTAGGTATACCAATTATATAAAGAGCAATTTGTATAGTAAGTATAATAACACGTCCTGATTGAGTTTACAAAAATTGCTAAAAACACATTTGCCACTTACAAAATACTAAAATATGAATTAATAAATATTTACACATAGAATAAGCACATTTATTATACTATTTTTTAGAATAAACAATTTTATAACTATACTAGGGCCTAGGCCTTAAATCTGTTTCCTACTAACTTTGCTCTCGAATCACTTACAATTTAATTTTAATGAGCTGAGAATTTATAATTCTAATATTAAAAATCTAAATGAACAATTTTATTATACATTATTAACATTTTAAATAAAATAGTATACATATACCTACTCACATTACTGTAATATTCCTCATCAAGCATAATATTTACAATGGATTTCTAATATTGAATGCTATTATAGATACCTATAAATATTTGATAAAACTATTTTTAAAAACTTTTTTGTTTATAGTAAAAAAATAACTATCATTTGTTTAATGGTTAATATACATTATATGTATAAACATTTTAGTTGGTGGGAGTTAATGGGAGTCATTTTATTTTGGTCGTCTCTGAATTCTTAAAAACATAAATTATTTAGACCGAGTTTATTCATCAAATTTTTACTATACCTAAAAATGTATTCCTTATAGTAGTTATAATTTTATAATTTTAATTATTAGTTTATATTACAAAATACAAATGCAGTTGAAACAATAATATCGGATGAACTTGTCTAATACATTGTACGCTATAAATATAAAACAGATTTAAAGTAGAAAATATGGTTTTTGTAGAAGGTACCAAAAAATAAGATTTCCGATTACTGATCATTAGTCATTATTCTGTATTATTAACTAGGTATATTAAAATGTATACTTAATTATTCATATTTTATCATTTAACAGTAATGTAATAATAACTTTCTATTAAAATGTTAATACAAATAAAGAAAATCATATGATTACAATTATTATGAATATAACATAAAACTATCAAGAGTGGACGATCTATCACCCCTTGAATCTGCCTATGATTAAAGTAATTTATTTATTATTTATTTTTAATGGGTATCGGAACTATAATAATATATTTCAATAATTGACTTTTTTCTTTTTTATTTTTTTTCCTTATGATATCGAGGACTGGAGGAGGAACCATGGTACCCAGTACATTTCAATAATTGACTGGCACATAAAATGTTGATTTTAAGCAAATATTGTTTTAATTATTTAATTACGATATTAATCATACATTCATAAAAACAGAATACCAATATAGGCAATAGCAATTTCTACTACCTACTATAATCATTATCTGTACTTTTATCTAAATCACGTGATTAAGGTACTTCTTCATAAACTTTTTTAATCCACATTTCACGCTGTTCCTATGAGATAATTTTTAAAGTTAACACACGAGAATGCACGAGAATAAATAGCTTGGGTATATTATTTATATTTATATTAATTAAATATTTTTACACATACACCATTTCATAATATGTTTAGTTAGGTGTTAGATTGCTTTAAATATTTATTTTTTTTGGATTATAAGTTATAGAACCTAGGTTTATATTATTAATTATTACGTTAAAAATTAAAAATATGACTACAACCCAACGTATTAAAACAAATATTTAAGATTACATAAACGTAAGACAATGGATTTAGAAAATAAGTATGTAGACCAATGCTCGTATTTAAATAAACAAAAAATAATAAAGGTATTGTAGAAAATACTATAAAGTGGCTTAATTATTTTAACTATAAATAAAATATTACTTTAGACTGTATAATAGTGTCAATAGTGACAGTCATCAAGACTAAGGTAAACAATTTAAGAAGCTATAAATAATATAATAATAAATGGTTAAAAACCGTTTCAATACAGAGAGAAAATTTAAAGGCCATATGTGATGGATTCAATGATTGTGTATTTAATAATTTTTATCATTATTCATTATAGTTAATACCAAACTAAAATTTGCATCTTAAATTTATTGTTTCAACATACTATACCAAAGTCCAAGTTATACCAAGATATACAGACATACAGTCTTGTAATATTTTATATAAAATGTAGGTAACACAATTGCACATCTTGACACAGTGTACATAACTACATTTTAAATCGTATCAATGAGATAATATGATATTTAGCGTCACCAATAGTTACATTTAAGAGCTACGAGTACTGCATGTATTATATCCGTGCTAAAATATAAAAAAATAGGTACATATAATTTGCGTCGTATGTAAGTATTAATTTTATTAACATAAACTAAGCTTGTTATGTAATTTGCAGCGCCAAACTTTCAATTTCAGGTATTATAATTTAACTGATAAATTTACCCAGCTCACATTAGTTATAGGTCAAAGCATTTGAAACGAGCAGATAACATGGACTAGTAGGTATTAACTTGAACGTTTGGAAAATAAATTATAATATTAACGATTTTTACGTATTTTATTATTAACTGAAATATTAGTATATTATATTATTTATACTTAAAATTATTATATACACTCAACGTTACTTTTTTAGATACATTTTATCTAATTATATATGTCCTACCTTGAAATTAATTTACCAAAATGAATAAAATAAACTCAGTCAATAAATTAATTAAAATACATATTAATAATGAATTTTTAAAAATTATAATTTTTTTTTTTTTTAGTAACTATAGTTACTTACAATTATTAATATTATTTTAAAGTGGAAAAAATTACAATAATTTTGATTAGATGATAAATTAAACAAATTGTAATTTTTTATAGGTACCTACCAGATTATGCAGATCACTTAATGCTCTTTTATTTAATTTTATTTTGGCATATTACCATAATTCATTTTTAGATATGGTGCACTGCTACAGTGGCGGAGCCAGGGTGGTTTTAGTGTTGAAACACCCCCCCCCCTCAATTGGTTTTTATTTAATATTTTTTTTAATTATTCAATTTCCTGTATGCCATATAGTATTACTCTATGCTGTATGCACGGTGTCGACGATAGTTGACCGTAGTCATCAAGATAGATAAACAATACTGTTATTGCATATATTATATACTATATTGTTTATCTATCTTGATAAACCGTGGTAGGGTGATAAATTACTCATTTTGTATTGTTCTTCCGCGGCTGACTATGATACATACACGTACGGTGCGTTATGTTCTTGAAAATGGTACAAGAACTAAAGATTTACCAAAGAATGCTATCGACGCTCTTCAAAAATGTAACATATCGATTTTCCCTTCTACTTTCGAACTTCTATAGATTTTAGCAACT